CCCCCTCCCCCTCCCCCATCCCCCAACCCCAATCACGTCCCAGCCTTTGCAGCGGAAACGACCGTATGGGATATAGTCTATATGGACAGGCAAAATCGAGCGTTCCCAAGTATGCTCGGCGACGATACGTACTCCCGTGGCGACTCTCTTCGCTTCTCGTTCTTTTGCACATGGTCTTTCGCTTTTGAATGTGAAGAACAAGGCTGGATCCTCGCAGTCGGCACCTGCCTTTCTTAGAAACGCCCCGTTTGTTTTCAGCTATGGAATATATATGATTTACCGCAATTCCCTTGGGTCCAGATCCTCAGAGCAGAGAACAGAATAGAAAGATGTTTGGTCCCGATAGGCGTCGTGAATACCGTCGAAGGAATGCACAGACCCCGCATTTAATGATGTCTCTAGAGGGATACACTCTTACTGAACTCACCTGAAGCAAAAAATTTGTGGCTACGACTCAAAAAATTGGAACAAAAAAGGGTATGGTCACGTCATAGGACTAACTTTATCTTTACTATTTTATTTTTTTACTTTTTTTATTATTTTACTATTTTTACTATTTACTTTATCAACTAAAACCCTTCTAAATATTGGACGTTCAGACCAACTTCCGGGCGACGAGGCACTTTTCGTTTCTACAACATCAGGATGGGCAAATGGCGTCGTGAACTACGAGCTCACTCATTTATACTGCGAAACGGCGGAAGTGGATTGAGGTCGGATTCCTTCTTGTTTGATGGAGGACTGAAGATTCGAAGCGTAGTCCGAACCACCATGCCAAAAAAATCTATATACTGGAAATGTTAGGGCAATCCTGCCTCGGTTGCCTGCTCTTAGAATCAATAACGAGTTAGTACCCTTAATCACCGTTTATACGTGATATACAAAGATAATTGCAGTCTGGCTCAACGCACACCTCTGATTTGATATGTGACGCTGAGCTGCCTGTTTTCCAGCGTGCGAAGTCGGTAGTACCCGTGTTTCGAGAGTCCGGTAAGTAGCTCCTATGACCCCGCAAGGGCGAACTGCGGCATCTTTGGGCCGACAGATGCAGTGGGTGGCACATCCGATCATGAGGTGATGCAATGCCCTTGATACTTCCTATATGAGATGCGAAGCTCCTGATACTTCTTAAATGGTACTCATAACCTTTGTCCATAAACACCAACACACACAATATCCAAGCGCACTTCTTGGCTAGTAAGCCTTTCGACTATCAAATTATTTTTCATTTCAGCTATCCCCTAGATCTGTCCTACGTTCTAGTTCAGTGCTACCGGAGCTGGGTTTCCTAAGTTTTTTTTCTGTGTTGTAATCTCTGTTTAAGCTGAGTTTTTAATTTATATCTTTCCTTAGTCAATACTACGTGTTTCACCTCTGACCTACTATTATTTAATGACCTTGGCGCGTCCGTTATCGGCAGAAAAAAATAACATAAATCAAAAAACCAGCGCAGTGTGATCCAACCGTTAGGATCACCGTATCTATAGGGCACGTCAAAAGGCATACAATACGAGCCTGAAGTAACTTAGGACTGAATAAAGCACCTTTTTCTCTTTCTTCCTTATCATCTGCCGTGGATCGTCGCAGCTGTGTTCTAACCTCATCGTTTTCAAGTCTCCAGTCTCTGGTTTCTTCAGCGAACCTTGTTTAGAATTGTCCACACTCCCACTTAAAGATCGTCGATCCTCAGAAATTGCGCTGAAATGCAGGAATTCGAATTTAGGGGTGGTAGATGAGTTCTGAGTTTGTGAATTCTCTTAAGTGAAGCAAGAGGAAAATAACTGATCAGGCACGAACCTTTTCGATGGAGTCTCTTCGAGTGGGTCGTGAATATCCGGTGGACCAGTGAAACATCCCTCTTCCGCTTGAATCTCGTAGACTCGCTTTGAATGAATAACAACGTTACTGTAGGGGAGAGCTGAAAAGTTGATGAATGGATGAGGTATCATCAGAATAAAAACCTGCCGTGGGGAACTATTTGGATTGTTTAGGTGCAGGAAGCGGCATCTTATTCAAGAGGATCACTCCTGCTCAAAAGAGCTTCTGTTTTTCCTAGACAATGTTCACATTCGCTACCGAGTTCTATCTCAAGGACACTTCACATGTAGTCTAGTTCGCTGAGGACAAAGGGGCGGGTCGGACGGGATGAATTTGGCGTGGTGCCAAACCCGTTTTCCACCAGTTGCTGAAGCGAGCAAGTAACAAGCGTGGGTCACATCGCTCGTATGCCTTGTTTTCTACCATTCATTGTCGCATAGCCGCTCAAAAACTGGGAGAGAACGGTCACACACATACTGCCAGACACGCCCCTTCGTCCGCAGCGAAATAGAGTCAGGTTATCCGCTTTCTCCGAGAAACGAGCACTGGTAGGGGAAGCACGCTAGAAATGATTTTTCACTCTATAAGCGTAGGAAAACTCACTCATACTATGTTTTCGTCCGTCGGATCCAAGTGCTCTATGTATAAACCGAAGGAGGAAGTAACAGCCGAAAAAGATTGCAATGATCGCTGCCACGACGATACCGATGATTACTACCGTCGTCATACTGAAAAGAAACATATCAGTAAGAAATCATTTCCAAAGGCGAAAGTGGAATGAGAATTGGTATAAGGAAAAGAATGATCCGTCGTCATACTGAAAAGAAACATATCAGCTAAGAAATCATTTCCAAAGGCGAAAATTTAATGAGAACTTGTATAGGGAAAAGAAATATCACGCAAATCTTCCATGAAATGTGCTAGAAGGCAAGAAATGGCGCTTCTGTAGATCCAAACTGGGAAAATAATCCGGCCTAAGTCGGAGCAGAACTTGCACTTTCTTCCTAACAATCTTATAAGTCAAGTAGTAATGATTTAGTGATAGCGTTAGATACAGGCATCAGTGAGAATATAGGAAAGTGCAAGAACTGATTGGGCGTCGTTCGGTTTGAGAGGGGCATTTTCCATTTTCGCTGGTTCCTTTTACTAGTCCATGTTAATTAACAAGTTAAGTTCTGGTGAGAGCTATGAACTTCTGTGGAGCCGCGAAATATTATGAGCGAGTCACTTTAGTTGCAGGAATTCACAGGTCTTCGTGTGGGGGCCTGAACTTGCTTTGCCAAAAACCATTTGATGCCCCTACGAGCCGAGCGGCGCCAATGATTGGGCTAAAATTCAGTTCTATGTCTTACTATACGATCTGAACTTCTCGGTCAAAAAGACACATAGTCTAGTTCGCTACGGACGACAGGGGGGGATGAGTTTGGCGCGGTGCCAAAGCTGTTCTCCACGAGGATTGTTGTCGCATAACCGCATCGCAAATTGGCAGAGAACGGTTCGGGCACACTAATACTTCCTTTCACACCCATTCATCCGCAGCGAACTAGATTCTACTTCATCCCTCTTAAAGAAGTCCTATTTTATTCGAAGAGTAACTAGAGAATGCCTAATTTAGACATGAGTACGAAAGCAAATAATTAAATAGTTCAAGGAACTGCTAAGGGAATCCTCGAGGGCTTAACGTTGCAGATTTCTCAGACAGAAGTTAGGTGCATGGCGCATCACAGCATTTTATGCGATGGCCATTGATACTGGTGTATTACTGATTCCATAGCCTTCAATTCAGAGCAAGGGAAGGGGTAGGAGGAGCTGCGGCTGATCACGACATGTGTGCTTGTTAGCGCCCACCCACTGAACAGGAAAATGGCGTACGGCTTCGGAGACGTTGCAAAAAGAAGACAGACAATACACGTGATCTGGCACGGCCACATGGCCCCTCCTAGCAACATCAAACCTCAGAGAAGTGGGACTGCAGTTTGAATGAAGCTTTTTCGAAGGCTGATATCCAAGTGAAAAAGGCTTCGAGTGGACTGCTGATTGTGATCTTAACAAGTGGATGAGTGGGGTTCAGCCAAGCGCCTTGAAGTAATGATGAAACCATATAAGAACGTCTGGCTTCGTGCACACCTCGCTGATTTCTCGATCATCCTTCCTTCCTTGTCAAAAACATCTCCCACGAAAACAAATAGGTCACTGTCCATCGGGAAACAGATGGAATGCTACATTAAAGAAGAATCACTGAAAATGAAAACTCACTATGTTGAAAATCGACAAATCAGAAGCACAAGGGGGGGGGGAGGCGGTGAAAGCTAAGGAGTAGCTCAGGCTTCTGTTTTGCTGCGCCCTTATATGGAAGCACTGCACAAGCACTGTTCTCCCTCTGTGCTCGTCAAAACAGGATTAATAAGCTTTTTTCGAAATTAGCTTGGCAAGAAGAGTTCAGCGGGTATTTACCTAGGTATCGGACCACAGCCCACGCTTCCTAGCCGAACTCCTATGAAACTCAGCAGACCAAAATAACCGCAATACCTACCATCCAGGAGGGTCCTGAAAGTCACTCCTCCCGAGATTTTATGGAGCAACTTAATGGGAAGTATGAGCATTATTAGCAACCATTAATGACATGAATGTTCGGCAATCGCTGGCAGTATACATGAAAAACATTATGAGTTTAACAGGCGTCTGCTCCCACGCAAGATATTTAAGGGCGTATCAGAAGACAAGTTCCATTACACAAGGGAGTTTTCGCAGTCTGAGGTATCGGTGCTATTATAATCCTAGGCTCGTTGCAGGAGGCCTACCCCGGGGCTGGAGGGAACTACACCGCCTCCAGCCCCGGAGGTGGCCTCCTGCAACGAACCTGGGCTCAGTGATATTGAGCCCAGACTGCTCTGCAACAGCGCCTACTCCCCTGGCTTAGAGCGACGCGTTTCACTGGACTGACTCGCACTTATGACCCCCATCCCCCCTACCCCGACGCAAAGATAATTTCCGCTATGAGGTACTGAGGGCAGTGATGTTCAGTAATGAATTTCTAATGGTATATCAACTCTCATCAATCTTAAGTAAAGAAAAACAAAAAAGAAATTGAACGGGAACGTTGAGGTGGCCAGACAATGACTCATTCTCATTGTACTACTTTTTCGGACTGCTGACATCCTCTGAGCCCTTGGTTCACAAATCATTTCTTCGCGTCATCCATAGCTAAATGTGTGCAACACAAAAAACCCAAAAAATAGCTTCGGACTATGGCTCCTAAGAAAAAAAGTAGCTTGCGAAAACTGTTTATATGAAATTAGATTACGGTGAACAATCGCTCGAAAAATTGCACAAGTGCAACCGCAGTGTTGTCTGATTTAAGGGCCAAAAGGCATCTCATTTCGCCAAGTTTACTGGTATTAATTGAATATTTTCTGGAAAAAAGTATCCAGGGGAAGCAGAACGACTGCGGAGTTGGATAAAGCGAAACGACTCGTGAGCTACTAAAAGTCAACTCGCTAGCAGTCTCACAGTTGCGAATATGAACTCGCACCACGACGCTGCAGACAACACGCGCGGTAATTAGCGGTACAGTTCGTTGTCACGTAGGCTATATGAGCGTGGATAGAGGACGGGCGTTCCTGAACATTCACCTCACACTTTTGAGTAACAAAATTGGTCCTTGTACGCAAATGTGGAGCAGGCCTTTAAACACTATTTCAGTGAGAGGGTGCAGCGGAGCTTACAAAATGCTGCATCGAGGGCGAGGTGAGGCAAAATGGGCCACTGTAAAATACCGTTAGGAGAATCCCATGCGTTCAAGAACAATTCTTCCGGGTCGCGTAGAAAGTTTTTTTGGGTGTTGAATTCCCCTGTTCCTTTCCATTTTTCTACTTCGCTGTACCTCGCTCCTCTTTTCCCTCAATGTCACCTTTTTGGTGAACCGAATGATTCTGGAAAACTGGTAGGAGGAGGAGGGGGGTGGGAAAAGTTAGAAAGATAGTATGTAGAATAGGAGAGGAGGGTAGTAGCAGGTGAGGAACTTCTGAGGGGGAGGGGGCGTACTGACATTTTATACTTCACGATGTTGTACCCTAACAGAGACATCAGACTATCGAAGTCCTTCGGATTCATCGCGCAACTCAAAGGTGAGTGAGTCAATAACCCGACCAAAGTGTAAATTCAATGAAATACTGGGCAATAAGCCTTTATGAAAGTCAAAAGCCACTATTTGTTATGAACTAAAAGAGGAAGTATCACCTGATGAAGTGGGAGTATCACCTGATAACAGTTACCGTGGAGAACGAAGTGCTATGTCGCTAAATGGCACGCTCACGCACAAGAAGAAAAAAGGATAAGGCATTCAAGTACCTCAGTAACTGGGATGACGACATGTACTCTATAAAAGCGGAGTTCTAGGAAAACATTTACTAGCCGGAGACAATTTAACCGTGAACAAATCAGAAGGGCAAAAGATTATGAAGGAGGTAAAGCTCAAAAAAGCTCATCACTCGTTGCTTCAAGAGAGCATCATTTAATCAAATTCCGTTCAGAGGTATAGAAAGTTTGCCCCATGAAATGACTAGATAAGGTCAGAGCTAGCGTTTTCAGCTCACTGGGAATTTCTATCGAATCATCTGCATGTCAGAAGCTTGATCGGCCTCGGCGCGGTAGAAGCGTATTTAGCCAGTCTGTCAAAGCCGACTCAGCAACAGAAAAGAATTGGTCTCAAAAAGCTCCAGGTTTAGTTGTGGAATGAAGTTCCGGAACGTTTTTTGCTATAGTACTCGTGATTTGGGGACAAGTGTAGTTGGGGAAGGGAAGGCCAGTCCTGCTGTTGGAACAAATATTGCAAAATACGACCCCACCCCTCGAAGCAGGACAAATCTTGAGTTGGGGATTCTGGTCAAGTCCGTGCGAGCCCCTCACTTGACATGACTTCCCCCCCCTTTTTTTTACGATTCCGGTTTGTTGTTTTTCACAGGGCACGTCTTGCCGCTAGGAAAAATTTTCGGAAAATACGACCACCCCCGTAGCTTTCTTGATACGATCGGTACAATGGAGCTGTCGAGGAAGGGGAGGGGGGTGTACTGCACATCCAAAACGGTGAAACGGAAAAAGAACCGCGAGAACAGTACGACCCCTCCCTCCCCCAGCGACCAGCAACGACCCCTTGTTGGGGAACCCCAATGATGATATGCCCTGCCTCGAAATTCTCACTGCTCTTACGGCCCTCTCCCTTCTACCTACCATTTCCCCGAAATTTCCAAGGTTCCGTGTTCCGGAGCTTTTCACAGAAGGGGCCTATGAAACGGGAAACTTGGAGAATTCAACAGCCGGAAGCATTCGTGGGAAAAGCGAGTACGACCGGCTCTCTGTCCCTACTCCAGCAGCTAGATGCCCCCCCCCCCGCTGGGGATCTCCAACATATGAAGAGCTTCAGTTGGAAAGCACGAAACGCGCGAACACGTCACCTCTGCTCATCTGTGACCTCCTACCGGAAGAGTGCCCGAAATAGTCATGAAATGGATCACGGGATAGTTTTTTCTGGGAAACAATTTCCGAAGAAATGTAGGGCAATAGCAATACTCATCCGGAGACCTCGCAGAGACCGGGAGTATCGCGCGAGATCATGACAAGACATGTGTGGCATAGTCGTGCGGAGTACCTCCCCCTTCCCCCCCCCCCCGCTCCCCTCCCTCATCAGACTGTCTTGGCGCCTTAATTTAGAGCCGTGCATACGTGGAGGAGTTTCAACCGCGC